TTTGAATTGCGTTGCATAAAATTAATATATTAGCTTAAATCTCAGCGTAGCCATCTTTCTTGAATTTGCTACTCAGAGAGGAACATCCATTTTTGATCGCACCACCAGTGAACACAATTCCGTCCTGAAAAAAAAAAAAAATTAAAAAAGACATTAAAAAAATATTCACCTTAGCAATTAAAATCCATATATCTATACATCTATATATTCAACAATCACTACCTGCAAAATAGCGAAGCGAATCGAGGCGGGACGGAACTAAACACCAAAATAAATTCTTCAATAACAAGTTTGACTGGACAAAGGAAATAACTGAGAGAGCATGCTTATACTCGAACAATGTAAATAATAATAATAACAATAATAATAATAATAATAATAATAATAATGATTATAAGACACAAAATAAAATAAAAAAAATTGTAATAATTAAAAAAACACTACGATAAATGATAGACAAGCCAATTAGACATTACACATTACAATTCGAGCAAAATTACACGTGAAAAAGGAAACAAAGAAGTGGTGAAAGAAAAGTCAGTGAAACTGAGGTAGCCAAACCATTGTTCCATACCGTAGGTTCACCCAGTGTTCTAATTTATATTTCTTTACCTTTACAAGGAAAGGAAAGTCGGCCCAGAAAGAGTGATTTGGTAATAACTCTGGCATGCTCTCTACACCACGGCCATATCGGTTTATCAACACTCCGATGATAATGTACATGAGAACTAATGGAAAAAAGCTGAAAAGAGACATATCAAGGAACTTTAGGAGTTTACATACGAAATCTACGACCGACAAACAACACACAAACAAACAAACAAAAAAGAGGTATTGGGAACTTTAGGAATGAAGATAACTCATTACTGCAAAGATCATTCATCATTTATCACTAAACGGTTTTACTAAGAAGCAACAAAATGACCAGCTCTTAGTTGGCTTGCTAGATGAGCTGGTAAAGAACTACATCGATGTCGCAAGGGTCATGGGTTGAAGTCCCGTACAGGCCTGAATTTTTTTAGGCTTCATATTCATCACATTAGCTTTTTTATTCACTACTGCTTTAGTCGTGTTCTTTACTGCGAAGATCACTCTCATCTTCATGACTGAGATTCACCTTTTCAGCGCTAGATTATCCAACAAGAGAACTCATTTTACTTTCCATGTGGATACTGCTTCTTTAAAAATAACCTTCAAATGTTTCAATCTTTAGTGGTTTTACCGATGCAATGAACGATGGGTTTTTGACCAATCAGGGCGCTCGCAGCATCTCAGTTTCTTTTGGAAAAACAAATAAATAAGCCACCTTCCTTAATAAGAGACAACAGTCGTCGATTCTAGTTAGAGCACGTGACTACATTTTTAGCATAATCTTACATAATAAGAAGTATACTGCCAACGCTGAGACCTCCTGATGATCCTCCTTCGGCACATGCATACTTTGATTTTAATGTTCCACTCTAGGAAAACAAAAGTAGCAAACGTAAAATTAATTAATTCCTGGATGCACTTTTTTCAATTTATAAAACCTTTTCACAAACTTTCATTTATTCTTCTCCCGTGGATACCATGACGCGCCTTAAAATATGTCTACAATGGTTATTCGGCAAAAGATTGAATAGGGGCACTCCGATATCCGCTATTAAACAGTCAGCTTCCTCGTTAGGATCTGACGTTTTAATTTCAGATCGAGATAACCATATTTATTCCAACAAGCACCGCCGCGCTTCTTAACTGTTCGCACCTAAGGCACGGCCCGTTTTTCGGAAACAGCCGCCTATAACAGTATCGGCAGCTGCTCCTGAAAAAAGTTCAAATTAAAACCCTTGAAGGCCTAAGAATGATGAAAACAACGACACCCTCTTTTTTTCATAAGAATTTTGAAGCGAATGCTTTTTTAACCTTTAATTATACTTAACTCAAAAAAAAAAAGGAAGAAAAAGAGCAAAATAAAGACGTTCTTTGGTGACTCTCAGCCTAGGTATGTTCTTAGTATGCTCTTAAAATTTTAGTTAATCTCAGCCTGAACGTTCATCTAAAATAGAAAGAAAAGAAAGAAAACAGGAAAAAAAGGGTGTAGTATTTGTTTCTTTAGTTTTTCATTCATACTACCCGGCATTTTCTACAAGCAAAGGAAAAAAAAAAAACAAACAAACCAAGAGGCAGATAATTACATATGTTGAGGTTCCTGTGCTTGCTCCAGATTCTGTAAATTCTGATATTTTTCCATTCCCTGTTGCACTTCGATCGCACACCAAAGTTATTTTAGACATCCTACAAAGTCACATGTACAGCAAATACAAAGACTGGTTATTGTATTTATATCACTACAAACCACAAATGATAACAATCTTTATGCAGATTTGTTAAAATAAGTCGCCAGTTGCAACCGGCGCATTTTACCCTCTACTATGAGAAACACGCAAGCTATTCCGAATAATGCTTGTGGCTCTCAGAACCTTTGCAGGTGGAGGGACCCTCGACCCCCAGCGCCACCAACCTTGCACACAGTCCGGTTATTCAAAATCTTTGTTAACAACCCTCTTTATTTATATATATGCGTGGTTCTGCAAGCAGGAAAGAAGATGCAAATTCTCTATTCTGATTGGAGACTAAAGCTAGCAAGAAGACTTGTTTTGGTCAACACTTGGTTAATAACGCGACAAACATGCTAGTAAAATGAAACTTGGGGGAGGAATACTTCAGTCGCCAAAAATCACGGACTACCCCACCCATACCTCCCTCGTCTCCATCCTTTGCTCCGCTGCTACTATCGCCGGCGCCTTTTCCTATTTCGCCTCGTCACTGTTTTACAAACGAGACGCCTGGCTCAGGCTACTAGGGACCTTAAGCAGTCAGGACAGCAACGCATAAGAAGACTTCGATTAAAAAATGAATTTCTGCCTTCAATTAAAATTTCAAAAATGACTGCATTTGTTTACCGTCTCCAACGGCGCCATACCTCAACTTCAGCATAACGTATAAAAAAAGCGTTGAGTTCCACATGGAAATTAAAATAATTTGCCGTCGCGGTTTCGGTTCGCAGACGACGCAAATTGTGGCGATTTCATGTTGTTGTTTTGCATAGGCGGCTAAGAAATGTACAAAGTTTTAAAACGCACGTGCTGAGCTATTGTTCTGCCAATTAGATCTTTTGTTTTTCCACGTCCTTGTTGCCGTCGTCATCGTGGTTTGCTTAAAGTCCATACTATTTCTCATACAACTTCGATCCTCTTACTGCCATTCACTAACTGAACTCTTAGAAGAGGGTCTCGATAAGGTTAACCGCTAGCCGTACAACGCCGAAAAAAAAAAAAGCTGTTAGACGTAAAAATTGAAAAATTTTAGCTGTTAGCCGTAAAACAACGTTAACCTTAAAAACAATCTACTGCGACAACAGTGGGAAGATATTTAAACCGTTAGCCGTAAATTGGCCAAAATTTTAACCGCTAGCCGTCACATCCATCACCCAGACTCTCCTGGAGAAACTAATGAAGAAGCCTTTTCTGCGATATTTACCTAAGTAAGATTTAGAAATTCGCCTTTCTCAAAAATTATTTTTCGGGATAGTTGAATTACACCAAGGCAGATGTAAATGAGGTAATTCAAAAGACTGAAGAGGCAGGGAAAGATGTCCACCTCAAGAACGAAGAATAATTCGAAATACTAACCTGTCAACTCCCCTGAGTGACCAAGATAGAATTTCCCGTTACAATATTAACTATTAATTAATATTAATATCAAGCAGACAAGGAATGAGAAGAAAGAAAAATATTAATTAGGGAGATATTAGTTGATCCGATACCATATTCACCGAATTGGCTTTCTAAGAATTGATATGACAGACAATGAGGAAAATTTGTAATACGATCTTGGGAATGGAAGAGTTGAGGAAGATGTTTACAAGGGTCATTTTGACTCCTAAACCCGTTGAGGAAATGGATGCACAGTCTTGTCACGCAAGCCTCCATTTAAACGTCACAATGCCAATGAGTCGAGCTGAAGTGTACCCCGCTGAGTTGCGTGTTTGTCGTCGCTTATGGAAAATATCTCCTGAAAGCTGCTCAACAGGTATATAGTACAACTCAGAGAGAACGAGATATAAAGTTTATCATATTCAAAAGAACATATTTCGCGGAGTCGTTTCAGAGGGAACCGAATTCGTTATGGTCCACGTTCGATCACCAACTTCACAACTTTGTTACAAACGGGATTTCAACTGATGAACATACGTTTCCCAAGAAATAAGCAAGACAGAGATGAACAAAGGTATGACATTTTTATACTCAAGGAATGCTCATATAACGAACTTAAGTTATTTCAGTTAAAGAGGACAGGTATGCTGATTTGCGTTCAATCGCGCACATGGCGTGATTTGACTAATTTCGTGTCTTCAGATGTCTTGCATGCGCTATTTTGAAGAGTTTTCTGTCGGGCAAAAAGTTCTTAAAGAACTTTACGCATACCGTAAACTGTCGCCCATAAGTCCTAGGCGAAAACAGCTTCCTAAGGCGGTTTTAGGAGGGCTTATAAGCGGAGGGGTTTATAACCGGAATAAGAAAGCGCTCATTTGAAACGAAGTTCACGAGCTCTAGAAATGCTGATCAAAATACGTTTAACATTGATTGTTTCATCTTTTTTGTCTCTGGTTTTTTTTTATTATAATCATATAAAATTTAGCTTTCAAACGTTATATCAAACCGAATTCGCTCCAATACATTTGGATTAGAATTACAGCTAACATCACGAACTGAAATGAAACTAGGCAAAACGGAAGTTCAGACTTTTCACTTTAGGTTCGTCTCTGCTCTCCTATTCTTTGAATTTTAACGTATAATTCACATAATAGTTCCTATCTCATAAACATGAAAAGCAAGAGGGTGGCTAACAATTGGATGTAATTTCTTGGTACCGGGGTAGCTCTGTATAAGCGGGGGAAGGCGGGCTAATAAGCGGCAGTTTACGGTATTTGAAAATCATTCCTTCCAAGGTGAAAAAAATTTATATTCATAAATTTAGAGAGTACTCTGCTTTTGCGAGTGGTTCAAAAATACTGATCAAACCAATTCTTACAAAATTACGTTTTCCACACATGAAAGAGTTCATTTAAGAATATCCTGTGTAAAAACTTCCTTGACTCAATATCTTTGAAACGCCAATCGGGGAGGAGTGGTCTATTTTCGGCCTTGCCTAATGTCGTGATCCCATTCAGGTGAATGCGAATTTCGTCTTTCTCGATAGTCTGAACATGTCTCAGGAAAAAAAAAACTACAAAGCATTTCAAATCTTACCCGAGGCTATCTGTATGCATAAAATGAGAGAATTTAGAGTATCAGCACTGTAGAAATTTGTTTATCTTCATTTGATTTTTGCACCGAGGTTCTCTTAACCCTTTAACTGCCATGGGTGACCAACACAGAATTTCTCCTTACAATATCAATACAATATCAAGCAGACAAGTGAGGAGAATAAAGAGAAATATCTACAAGGTGATTATTTATTGATCCAATAATAAATTTTCTGAACTAGTATATAAGAATTGGATGGCAGATAGTAAGGAGAATCACTAATGAGATCTTGGGAGATAAAAGGTTAACTTCATCTAATAAAATCAGATCAGAACAAAAAATAAAAAAAAAAGGGAAAAAAAGGCTCCAATTTTTCCATTATTCATGACAAACTTAACTGGCTTACATCAATAATGCTTGTTGCATGTTACACCTGATTATTTTTTTTTCCGTCATCTTTCATTAACCCTTAAACTTCCAATATCTCTTCCTTACTGTCTTTCATACAATTATAATGATGGCAATTTGGAGAATTTGGTATCAGATCAATTAGTAATCCCATAATTGATATTTTACTTTATTCTCATCACTTATCTGCATAACACTGTCTAGAAAGAGTAAGGAGAAATTCTGTCTCAGTCACTCACAAGAATTAAAGGGTTTTTAACAACAGTAAAAAACAGTAAAAAACAGTAAATGCAAGCTGTTTACTAACATTTTTTCCCATGTGTTACAAAAAATGTCTGAAGGATAAAAAACACAATCATAGTCTCCAATTGACATGAAAAAATGCTTGTATTTTTGTCTTTAAACATTGTGAATTCCTTAAAGCTCACAGTTTTCCTCAAACTTCCTTCTCCTAAAACTGTTCACAATTCAGAACAAATACTGTCTGATCAAATATCCATGCCCATTGAAGCCAAAATGAAGGATGTTGTCTGTACATGACATATCAGGGTATCTACATTTGTTTTGTTATGAGTAATTGTTGTTGTAATTAAAAGCTTCTAGAAATCTCCAGACTTCTTGGTCATACTGACATGCATACCATAGAACTTTCTAGAACTTTTCATCAAGTCACGGTTATTATGTAATACTACTTAAATAGTTCTTTTGTAAAGCTTCTGGAATGTTCCAGAACACTTTGTCAATGTATATAAAGACTCAATTATGTAATAGTAGTTGTTGTTGTTGTAGGGAGTGACTGACTGTTTAGAAAGCTAAACTGTGAGAGAGAGCTACAGTGGAAGATTGCTAGTTTGGAGAAATGATGAGGAGAAAATTGCGAGTTCACCTCAGTGGTGAGCTAAGATATAGACTGTGGCGGGCTTAGGTGAGTCTATCGATGATAAGTACTGTGCTGCCTTTAGGAGTAGCTCCTTATTAGGAATACTACTCATTGTTTAAAGAAGTAGATAACTTTGTAGAATCGTAGTGTTTTTCTGTCAGTTAGATTATACCATAACAGTTGTCCTTTAAAAATCAATTACATTGATACAGCACAACATTAGAGTTGTTTACTTGCCTTCCATGGGTAGGCTGTCCACCTTCTATGACTCCATATGAAATAACTACATTGCCAGAAGCATCCACACTAAAACTGGTATCTTTGCTTCCAGCAGGGATCCCAGTGGAGGTGGCTATTTGACAAACCTAGGTATATATTGTAAGAATAAATATGAGTTTAAGTATAGCTAACAAGTGCAACGTCCAAATTAAGGCCAAGGAATACTTCAGGAGAAAAATCTAGGCACCTTGTTGTGCCACTAGTCACTAGTTGCATACTGCTTCCAAGAAAAGTTGCCACTAATATACTGCTGTCAGTCACAAAAATTCAAACTGGTTTGAATTTGTCCAACAATTGTAGCACCAGGAAAATTTTTCATGGAGTATATGTTATGCTAGATCAACTTGTTCAAGCACTACACAGAATATGTAGATCAGGGTCTGAAACTGGGACTGGCTGATCTTCTATGAGTCTCCTTTGCAGCCATTGTTTGGTCTCATCATGCAACCTTGTTACATGACAAGATAAATAATGGCTGCAAAGGATATTAGTCTCCTATGGCACTAAAAATTGACTTTTGGCAACCAGACTTATATTTGGTCTTGAGAATGTTCTTTATGTTAATCAGTGCTCAAATATTTTATTCTAAAGCTCTCAAACATCATACACAACTGATGATTGTTCATGGGTGAGAATATGCTTCCAGTAGAAAAAAAAAATCACATTCAACACTCTGCCTCTTTGTAATTTTCTGAGGCAAACATTTTACACATTTTACTTTCTTTCCAAGCCTCTAGTCTGGTAAGCACTATGGAATTTACACAAAATGAGGATCTCCTAGTAAAGCAGGCTAACAATAAAAATCATGTACAAAGGATATAGGTTCCAAAGAAACTATGCTGATGAATCCATGGGGACTGTTACAAGATAAAGTGGTTTACAATATCAATTGGTACTCAAGGAGATTCTACAGCTGAAGTTTCAAGCTTTAGCCTTTCATCAGAGCAAAATTGGTTCTGATGCAGGGCTAACGCTTGAAATCTTAGCTTTTGAATTTCTCTATAGTAGCCAATTCACCTTACAAAACTGTTCCTCGACAAAATTTTAATGAGTACATTGACAATTTCAGGGTTTTTAAATTTAAGCATTATACCCAAATTCACTCACCATGACTTGTTTACAGCCTAGAGAATCATTTGGGTCATCGAATGGTGTGCATGGATTCCAGTCAAAAAAGCGGCCAGAGCTGCCACCTATATTTGTGAAGCTATTTCAAATTTGAACAAAAAAGGGTAAATTCAACTGTAGCACACTAAACTTATAATCTTGGTTAAAATGGCCAAATTAAACCAAATACTATAAATTATATACAGATTTCTTCCCCTAACTCCTTTAACTCCCAGGGGTGATTAACATGTATCTTCTCCCTATCAAACCCATGCATTATCCAGCTGACAGGTAATGAGAATATTCAAACTTATCTGGTAGACATTATCTTGATCTAACACCAAATTCTTGTAACTCATTTACAAAGAAACTGTAGCAGCTAAAAGGGAGAATCATAAATCAGATCTAGGAGGTTAAAAGGTCAAAGGATGTTCTGATATTTCCTTGTCATCTAAACTTTTTACTGAGAAGAGATTCTAAAAACATATTGAGTAACATGTATAGTAGGTACATGCATATTCCACTTGAAGTTTCACAAAATAAAACCAGCACTAAATGACTATGAATGAATAAAATTCATGTATGGGAACTACAAATAAAGACGTGCATATTAAACCGATCTTCGCAGTAATGAACAGTACTGAAAGTGAGGCCTGAAAAAAAATTCAGGTTTGAACGGGATTTGAACCCGTAATCACCTCTGCGATACCGTTGCAAAGCTCCACAAACTGAGCTAACTTAAGCTAACTGGGAGCTGGTTATTATGTCGGTTCCAAATAAACTCGTAAAGTGATGAATAACTGACTGTGAATAAATGAAAATTAATCAGTGAACTGCGGATAAAGACGTGAATATGAAAGGGTTCTTCACAGTAATGAACACTAGGATCAAGAGCAGTGGAGTTGTGTTCTGTCCAGCACCGGCAGTACCACTTAAGATTCTGAAACTTAACACCGTCCTACCTCGGTTTTGAACCACCGTCCGCATCTTTCAAACTGACTGTCGAACCATTCTTGAACTTGCATGTACATACATCAACCTTATCGCAGGACTCTTCCGATGAAGAAATTGCGACCCTTAGTATGATGAATAATAGTAGAAGGCCTTTACTTACTAATTGCGCCATTTTGGACATATAATTATTATGTAGATGTCTGTTCAGATCATGTACATGATCCAGCCAATCAGGTACTGCGATCTATTTTGCAACAGCGGCGTGCCAAGGTTGTTCCAAATTTACCTTTACCGGGAGGTGGGAGGGGGAACGGGCGAGGTTCGTTAACCGGTAAATGACCTTGCAATTCCCAACCCATTTCAAAATGAAAAAAGAGAGATTATTTAGAGTTCTCCTTGTGAGCGTTTTTTTCTTTTGCTAGCATTGGCTGAGAAAATTTAAAACGGACAGTTCAAATTAAACCACCGGTGGCTCAAGCTTGCAAAATGAGCAAATGTGTCTTCGTTGCGTAATGCATGGGCGACATTTAGGGTCACGATATGCGACTAAACTGTCGCACTCTAAACCCAAGGATTCTATAAAGGGCAAAGCAGATGAGCTCAAACCGAATTAAAAGGTCCCAAATCAGCTCAGAAAACTCACACTGTACAAAGGAACAATCTCCTACGCGAGGTAATATTGTTTTGTTTTTTTTCAAAACTAGTTTTTTTTTAGGTTGAAGGTGCAACCGTTTATTTTTCTAAAGCTCCTTATATTTCGCCCATTGCGTAACGTAAGATTTTTAGCATATTTACGGAGGCTCATTTGCGAGCTTGGGCTATCTGTGTTAAAACTGGAAAAAAGGTGCCGTTTTTAAATCCTTGAAGCTTCGCTTGCACAAACACTGCATTTCCTCGAATAGGCACCCATACTGTAATCAGCGCTATCCCCTGAATTAGCACCAACCCATTGGCCATAATGTTAAACAAGTACCCCTCTTGAATTAGCACCCCTCCTTCCTCGATTTCTAAAATAGAAGAGTTACAAGGAAAACCTTTTTCTATTGCCATTTTATTCATAACTTTTTAAAGCGTCAACTACGGCGGAATCGTCACAAGAGAATAGACAGCGAATCAAGGTTGGTTCCCTTTCTTAATCGTACAGCTGTAATTTAAGAACCAATTAGTATTCGTCTCTTTGCTGGCTATTTTGAATACATATTTTTAGAATCGTAACGTAACACTGAATATGTACATGTAACTTTATCTTATGACAAATAAAGAGTTATTGTTACTTATCAGACTTATCTGTTATGGCCGGGGAGGGGGCCTGGGGAGGGGAGTTGGAGGTTTTCTAATGGATCACATAGTTTTCAGGGGTAACAGTCGTCTCAGTCGTCTCAAACAGAGTTTAAAAGAAGGACTATACAACATTGACTGCCAATTACCTTGCAATGGGGGGTTGGGGGAGCATAAGAATTAATAATAATTCATAGCCTTATGGGTGGTCACGTAAACTTAATCTTGACACAACCAAAATCCTGTGATACCCCAGGCGACAAATAATTAATGACTGCTCCATTACACAGTTAGGTGAACCTGCTAAAATGTTTCCTCTCAATCAATACTTGTGCTTGTACTCAGAATCAAAAGCCGTTCACGCTGAGGGGATGTGCTGCTCGATGTGCTTTCAACGAAGTAAAA